CTCGTAATTTGAGTTCATTCAAATTCTACGATTCTATGTCGGGAGATACTGGATCTGTTAGACTTTATCTATTGACTTGCCAATAAATTGACAAATTATGTGACAATTCTTATAAATTGCCTCATTATGTGCTATTCTGCGGTGATAAACACCAAATTATGTGATATAGGCATCTGTGGTATGATGTGAAACACAGAAAATCACTGGCCCTGTATAGGGAGTGGTATTAGCAAAGGTGAGAGATGACATTAACAGGTCTCTTTACAAAAACCCAATAATTTGGCCAATCACAGGCTATGTTCTGAAAAGGACCAAATTGACAAGAAAAAGCTTTGCGAGAAATTGATTTTTATGTTATAAATTCTATAATAAATTATAAGAAAATACAACCTTTTAAAGAGTTATATTGCAAAATTTTATAACAGAATTTTGTTTCTTAAATAAAAAATGTCTCTAGGCTAATTTTGGATTAGTTAAGCTTAAAAAATTTTTTTGAACAACAGAACACAACCCACATGTGGGCATCATTTATGTTGCATATGATGCTACATGCCATGACTTATTGCTAGCGGCCTAAATTATACTTTAACGCCAGCCTAACTCCAGGCAGGGTTGTAAAATTATATGTAATGGTAAATTTTTTCTGAAACCAAAAAATTTCATGTAATTTTGGTCGTATAAATAATGTAGGCAAACTATAAATTATAGCACCGAATGTAGCAACTAATACCGGACAGACTTTCGTAATGTTAGTATGATTATGTGCCAATACACGATTAATTGTAATTTATATAATTTTTAACCTTAATTCCGGGACTGCATAATTCGCAATGATTGGATTATTTTTGGACACTATATAATGGTAACCGTTATTATATGATAACGGTAATATTTCACACGTTTAACATTATCAACATTTGATTAAAAATGGTTGCCGCTTCATTCCTTATATTAACAATACATACATAATCTGAGGAATTTAACAAATAATTCGGTTATTAATCTATTTTAACTAATTATCTATCAGATATAATATTCAATAGATAAATGGATAAACAATTTGTGGATGGGAACACTACTAATCATATTGGACATCTAATGCAGATTTCAAATCTAATAACCTTAATGCATGTTCTACATGCATCACCAAATTATAATCTTTAATAACCCTCTCTAATGCGGTATTTTCCCTTTTATAGTCCTCAATCAACCCTGCCAATTCTTCTTCATTAAAGTCAGGAAACCGTCTACGAAGTTGCTCTTCGGTGCTTGCAAAAAATGCTTCGGCAGGCGGACAAAACCATTGAATTAATGGGATGTCTAATATTAAATAACAATAGATTGATTGTAAACAATTAAACATAAGTAAACGCTTAATGTGTATGAATTATTAAAAATGCCAATGATTAAACATACCAGCAGTTTGACTGACAATATCCAATGTATGATAAACGGCTGTTCCCCTGATCTGTTCGTTCAGATCTTCATCGGACATATCATTAGTATTTGATATTGAGTCCCATCTATAAAAATTCAGAAAGGTGTCAAAAATATTATAATAAAGCTTTGTGCGAATGTGAACGCCTACCTATCGGTTATGTATATCCTTCTCCATATTGTTTGCAATATTGCGCGACGACGGTCATCAGGCAACTAAAACCAAGGGTTAACCTAAATGTGAAGTCATTTACTAACAATGCAAATTAACAAGCGTTCACAAACCTTTTCATCGTTTAACGTAAACTGTAAAGTAAATGGAAAATCATCCTTTTCCTTCTTTTCTTTGAGCGTCAATACTTCGATTAACGCTTCTGTCGAAAGCATTTCACCGCTCAGAATATATGGCACATATTGCGCAAACACCTAAAAATCATAATTTATATTCGATTTATGTTCATTAATTTTTAGCAATTATATAAATTACCTTTGCGTGCATTGGTCGATATTGTTTGAGATTTTTGGCAGCGTTGTCCACAATCACATCTACTTGTTTACTTTCATCTACGGTTTGATCCGTAGAAGTAATAATTTCAACAAATTGATCTTGAAGTGCAGTGTATGCATCAATTAGTTCGAATCCATTTTCAATTCCTAATAATAAAATAAATCAGTAAACAGATAGGTAACGATAGATATAAATTAAATGTTATACTTGCCTTCCATATTACATTGTACATCCTCATTTTGTGTGTCCATTTCATCACTTAAGCCAGCCAAGAAAGTTAATTTACTAATGCTGAGAAAAGTCTGAAAAGATTACTAAGACTTTAATAATTATTTTATTTGAAAATTTGTAATGCTGTTAAAAAAAAACAGAATGTTTACCTTTCGTTTGTTAACACGCAATTCTTTTTGAGCCAGTAACCGCAACTTTATTGATGCATCGTTATAATTCTCCATGTATATATCATGCATCCAAGATATTCCACTTAAATTTCGTTCATTTAGGAACATTCTAAGCCATTCTTGGTGCTCTGAAGTATGCGACTGAATTAACGATAACAAATCCGCAGATCGTTCTTAAAATAAATATATAAATGAGTTTCTGGCACAACTTATAAAATAATTTAAAAATGCCGTATATACCTTTTTCTATATACCATTCGTATAATTTAAAGGCGAATTTTTCTTGGTATTTTTCCATATATATTGTTATATGATCATTAATGTTTTCACCGGATTCCATAATCAAATCGACTAATGTTTTATAATCTTCATAAGACTCGCTTAAAGCGAAAGCTCGATCACTTCTACCGATAGAAACTAATATTGGGTATTAATAAAGATCATCAAAATGATGTTTAAAATCGCAATTCTGTAAATGTAAGTTGACAACCTACCCAACTTTTTTAAAATGTTAGACCACTGATCACGATAACTTTGTGCATAACTTCTAGTTCTGACGTCATCACTGTGGAAAACAACCATGTTAAACCTCAATTTAATAGATAATGTATTTCAATTATTATTAATTTTTACCAAATCAGTCGTTCTGTAGTTGCTCCAAGTAGTACATCCGCCAAGTTAACCATTTGATCTTTAAGTGTTTCTATTCTAGCGTCTTTCATTTGAATTTTATTATAATCATTAATCCCTTGGCTAGTATATTGAAGTGAGTCATTAACTGTCTGACTAGAATGTTGAACTGTGAAATTTCGAATTGCAACGTCAGTTTCCTCAAACTGCTGATGAATAACTTTTAAAAGCTCAGGTTGAACTATAAATTGGTAATAAATATTTCTATCAATAAAAATTAAAAATACAAATGTTACTAAAGCTAAATATTAACTTACAAGTCCAGGAATCTTTTGATTCGTTCGAAGTTATTGCGTACAATTCTTTATTCATTCTTCTAAAATCAAAGGCCGCTTCAAAAGCAAGCTATAAATAATGCATATAATAAGATTCATCATAATAATCACGTCAAATTAACAAATGCTAATATGCGTTTTTAGTATTACCAGTATAATAGTATTTGCCTCAAAAACCATTATATTACGGTCATCAGCGTCCATATGATTCTCTATTACACGTTGAATGTAGGTGAAGATAGTACCAAGATCACGCACCTGAAATAAAGTGATTAATTAAGTGCTCTCAAATTACCCTCAACAAGCTAAAAAAATAATACATACACGGTATCGATAAAAAAACCTAGCTAAATCCTCATTTTGGGATTGAAAGTTACGATCCTGAAAATATCCATAGATAGCACTATTTAATAATTTTCGGCAAGGCCCCTCCGCTCCGTCCTGTAGAGGTCTATTTCAATTTAAGAGTCAAGAAATTAATAAATAAGAAATATTGAGCAGCAATATTATCAATATAATTTATCACTTACGAATAAGATGCGTTGTGATGATTCCATAACTTTTTTACACAGGCCATCTTTTCCGCATTCCAAAACAATCGCTGTCGTGTGGATGGGTGTAACTAAAATTACGACGCAATGTTTTAAAAAAGCGAAAATGGAATTTGAAAAAAAAAATAATAAAGATGCTAATAAAGATGCAACACATAAAGCTAGACCTTTTTATAGTCGCCAGGTTGGAAATAAAATCTGGTGATTATAAAAAGTTGACATAAAGATCAAATTTTATATAGCTAGAGCTAGAGCTAAGGTTGTACCATATTAATTGTGACTATCCTTTAAACCGTGATTTAGCTACTAAATTATGTTGGATTGTCTATTTCGTAGTATATTTGAAGTTGAATTGACGGTTTAAGGGATAGTGAGGTCTAACTAACTGTATTTACTTTTTACGTAAAGTTCTTACCTTGTCAATAACATTACTGTTGCGAATGAACTGAATAAGTAATGCCATTTTATTATGTCTCTCATGCAATTGTGATTTGAGATCAACTGATTCATCTAAATGTTGTGAACCTGTAATAACATTTATACTATAAGTAAAACATAGTTATGCAAAAAAAAAAAAAAGAAAAATCTATCTTAATAAAAGCAATTATTAATTACTAGAATCTAATATTTCATCACTAAGTTCGAGAGCCACTTTATTGATGTCGCCTTTAAAATCTGACGATAAAGTACATGATACAGGAACCTAAATAATTTTTAAAAGTTTTAAAAATAAACTAGAATGGAAAAGTCAATATATAACTAGAAAATTTACATTGTGGTCATTGTTACGAAAAATTGCTTGCTCAAATATAAGTTTCAACTCTCGATTTCTTTTAGCCTGTAATAAAAATTAACAGTTAACAATAAAGATATCTTAATTTGTGTAGAGCTTGCTATATTATTAAATACCTGAGAATCTTCAATATCCATATCTTCCTGAGATCTAAGATTGTACTTGAAATATGAGCCAAGTTCAAATAATAAATAATTAATTAATTAATATAATTCTTACTGTAAAGGTGCATTTTCTTCTATTATTTCTGAAATATTTAAACGACAACTCATGACACCAGTTTTTGTTGTTAAAATGCGCATTTCACTAATATTATCAATAGTATCTCTAGGATGCCACGATTTTGACCCTTCTGCACAAGATCCGACTATTATGTCATTTATCGGGTCACACATAGTTATAATGTTTGTGTAGTTTACATCTACATATATTAATTTTGATGATGTTATTATACTCATGTTTTACATGTATATCAATTGTTGGAAGTCAACCCACCAGCCGAGGGCGTATGCCTATCATAAATTGACATGTGAATGTCTTAACCGTTTAAATTGATATAAGTTTCATTTCATGTCTTTGAATATTTAAAAATCTGAATAATTCAAACAATGATAGTAGTTGAAATATTTACATATCACATGTTAATTGACTATATACCCTTGACTGATAGATTTGACTTCCCAATTGGCCCACATAAAAAGTGTAACATTTATAAAAACAATAATAGTACAAGCAATCAATAAAAATCCAGGAAACATATTGGTTTTTCTAATAAGTTTCCTTGGATTTTATTGACAACCTCAGATACAAACCTTTCAAGATTGTTGTGACAATAATAGCTTGAGGAAAAATTACAAAAGCACCAGGTCCACCATTAGGCATAACTAAACTCGCTCTTGGTCCGAGTGACACATTCTAAAAATAAATAATTTACAAATTTCAAAAGGCATTGAAAATAGGTTTAAGATGAAATCAAGTAGAAACCTACACTCTGAACTTTTAATGGATGACATTTAGTGACACTATATTGTCCACTGGTTGATTCTTGATCAACCGTATTCAATATTACCAAGAAATATGTTAAATCCTTATTCTGGTCGGATCGTCTTGAACCAGTAGGGCGGGACACAAGAATTACCAATTCGCCGTTTCTACCGGTATTTGAAGAGTTAGAATATTTACATTATATAATATAACACACTCAAAACTGGTTTACTCGACTTATTTACTTTGCGAATTCAATGTCTAATATCTGGACATCTAATGGATTTGATTCAAAAACACCATCACTAATATAAACTTCCTGTGCAATAATTTCATGAATATCCTGGCAGAATTTATACTTTAAAGGTTTTAATAAATTATGTTGCAAAAAGGAAAATGTTAAGCCAAATAATGAATCGTTAATGCATGAAATAAATTTTTATCTAATTGTAGCTTGCATCTTTACCTTTGGTGCAATACGTGTTCCAGAGAGAACCCATTTTTCTAATGATTTTTCCAGCAATACAAATAATTCGCTATTCACGTCCGATTTGCATGTTCATAATTAATAAGAGTAGACGCGTATAAATGAGTGTCGCTAAAAGAAAACCCGAAAATTTAAATATGATTTATATTTAAATTGTCGGGTTTTCTTTTAGCGACACTCAAATAATATAATAAACATTTCCTAGTACCTGGAGTAATTTTTACCCAATTTTGCGCCTAAAGTTGTTGAAACAATCCCACCATCATCAAGTTTTCCACTTTGCCAAAGATACGAACTTAATTGCCCAATAAATCCTCCAGGGCGAGAGATTGAAGAAGAAATAAGTGTTGGTTTTCCATCCGGTTGGCAAACATGAATTCGATACAGCGCAACATGTTCTGTACCAAATATTATTACACAATTTTCTCGAGATGATCCTTTTGTCTAACAGATTGATAATTTAAGCCAAGGTGATTTAAATGGATAATTAAATATACGTAAAAAAAAGATTAATATACTTCGTGGCACGCTAGATATATTCCTTGATCACCTTCTTGAAGGTACAGTTTCAACCCTTTATAACGTTCAGCCTCTGTCATAGCATAAGATATATCTTCCCAATAACGGAACTCCCCCTTAGGAGTACACGCCATTAGCCCCGGTTTTGAACCTTCAGCCGAAGGAATTAAGCACACCAGAGGAAGTTTATCTGAATCGATCGGCTCATCGTCACAAATGGGCATTTGAAACTTATAGACAGTATCAGGTCGCCTAAGAGGTTGCTGTAAAAAAATATTGGTCAGCTAATTTGTATATTCTGAGTATTTAAATTAAAATAATAAATTACAAACTTTGTCGTGATCTTTTTTGTAGTCCCAAACGTAGCAACAAGTGCTAGTCACCACTGCAGCATGACCAGTAGTCCAGCTCAAAATACCGTCATATACTTCTGTAAGGAAATATGCTCACTTGATAAACCAGCTAAATATCTCTCAAACGATTAGAAACACCAATATCACCACTCCTTATTGTAATTTTGAAATACGCTACGCGTACAGAAAAGCCAAACCCACCAGCAGAATGCATCAATTCCTCAACTTCTACAGGTAAAGAGCCGAAATGTTCTACTTCGTGTTTTTCAAATTTCAAATACGGTGCTGACGTTGGTGCCTCTGTCTCTGCTTCTATTTTCATTGGTGTTTGTAA